AGGACAAAGTCATGAGCATGGTAGGCAAGACCATGCAACAGTTGCAGCTTGGGATGCCAGTGCCAGTTCGAGATGAGGCCAACCGGTTGAACAGGGATATGCTTCGTGAGACGTCTTATAACACTGACCAGTTGGCACGAACAGTTGCAACAATGGTCCCCAGCCTGTCACCTGACCAAGCTGCAGCATATGACAGGATAGTCAACACAGTTCAGCAAGAAGCAGGTTGCATCATCTTTCTCGATGCACCTGGAGGAACAGGTAAAACATTTCTGATCAACCTGCTTCTTGCCAAGGTCCGGTTAGAGAAAAATATTGCACTTGCTGTGGCTTCCTCTGGCATTGCTGCAACACTTTTGACTGGCGGCAGGACAGCCCACTCAGCTTTCAAGCTGACATTGGATCTTCATCGAGCAGAGAACCCAGTTTGTCACATCAGCAAAAGCACTGGTGTTGCTGAGGTCTTGAAGAGCTGCAAACTGATTGTGTGGGATGAGTGTACAATGTCCCACAAAGCTGCATTCGAGGCACTAGACCGCACTCTGCAAGACCTGAGGGGCAAGACTCAGTGCATGGGTGGGGTGACGTTGGTTCTCTCGGGAGACTTCCGACAGACATTCCCAGTCATTCCAAGGGGAACTACAGCAGATGAGATAAAGGCATGTCTGAAGAAGTCTTCCCTGTGGACCAACGTCAGAAAGCTGAGCCTCACCACCAATCAGCGAGTGCGGCTTTTTGGCGACACTGATGCAGGGGCCTTCTCATCTGCTCTGTTGAGACTTGGCAATGCAGACCATCCTGTCGAGCCAGATGGACAACTCATCATCCCTGCCCAAATTGCTACAGTAGTCAAGACGATGACTGAGCTCCTGCAGAATGTCTTCCCCAACCTGCCTCAGCACTTTCAAAGCCCAGACCATGACACTTGGCTAAAGTGGCTCAGTGAAAGAGCCATTCTGGCACCTAAGAATGACGCAGTTGATGACATCAACAACCGCATCCTGAGACAACTGCCTGGTCAGGAAAGGTGCTACAAGTCCATCGACTCCACCGTTGTAACTGACCAAGCAGTACACTACCCGACAGAGTTCCTGAACTCTTTGCAACCACTGGGGATGCCACCTCACAACTTGATCCTGAAGGTGAACATTCCAATCATGTTGCTGTGGTCTAGTTCACAGATATTCCTCTGAGGTCCCTAGATGCATTATGAACGGACTTCTGTGTCTTTGGTTTGCTGAAACGAGCTTCGGGATATCAGCCACCTCATACTTTGAAGTATAGATTGTGCACAGATGAGCGCCAGCATCGTTATTTCACTGTGCTTCAGAGCAACTTGCTTCCTTGGAAAGTTGGATGAAGAGGTATTTTCAAGAACCATGGATACCGAATCAAGCACTATTGGGATTGGAGCAGGAGCCTCTAAGGCATGTAAGTATCTTACAGGTTCTTTCAAATTAGTGGAACCTATCGCACTCATGCATGATGCACTTCAAAAAGTCTAATGTTATTTTATGGCATGATGGCTCCTCAATGGAAAATGTGGGATGCCTCGAAAGTGTCATGTAGTTCTTGAAATGATGCGTACAACATGTGAAACCATGGTGTAATCTGAAGTAAATATATATTTGTATAATTCATTATGGAATGTTTTCAACATCCTCAACAAGAAGTAGACATTATCAATGACATCGTCACCAGCAAAACTGATATATATGCACGACATGGAATAACCGCTTCATCTCAGGAAGCTTGAATGCCTGTTTCATTGGCTTCATTTGTTCAGGAAGTTTCCCTTGCATGTTCCGATCCTTGGGTTTTATAACCTACAGAACCAAGAAGAAAAAGCAACAAATATCAATAGGATGTAGTTTCGAAGACGTGCTTGTACGAACAATCCTGAAGCCATTTTGAACCATTCTCTTGCAACGTTTCACAATAGTCGAACTGTCGAAATGTTGAAGCTTGTGTTTTGACCCGTCCGAATTTTACATGAATTTGAAGTACTGGGGCCTTTTTCACGAAACTTCTTTAACTTTTCTTTATCTTTATTTCGGCTATATTTCGACTTCATTTCTTCTTTAACTCTATTTCGGCTATATTCTGACTTTATTTCGACTTTATCTTTTCTTTAACTTTGTTTCGTCTATATTTCGAATTTATCTCGACTCAAAATAAATTAAAAAATAAAGACACCTTTGGAGGTCTCTCCATCTCGACTTTAACCTCTCTGAGGGCTACGAAAACTCGCCTGTGTGTATTCTTGATAACATGCCCCAAGCGTTGCACGTGCATTCTTTCTGCCACCTGTGACTGTTACTGCTCTCCGTGTTCACACGACCATGGCTGCAAGGCTTCACCTAATTCGAAGGCAGCTTCGTCGGGAAAGAGTACTACGCGACCGAAACAATCCCTTGGAAGAGGACGACGATGAAGGACTCTTTCCAGACGAAGTTGCCTTCGAATTAGGTGAAGCCTTGCAGCCATGTTAGTGTTCACACGGAGAGCAGTTAGTCACAAGTGGCAGAAAGAATGCACGTGCAACGCTTGGGGCATGTTATCAAGAATACACACAGGCGAGTTTTCGTAGCCCTCAGAGAGGTTAAAGTCGAGATAGAGAGACCTCCAAAGGTGTCTTTATTTTTTTTATATTTTTAGTCGAGATAAAGTCGAAATATAGACGAAACAAAGTTAAAGAAAAGATAAAGTCGAAATAAAGTCGGAATATAGCCGAAATAAAGTTAAAGAAGAAATAAAGTCGAAATAAAGATAAAGAAAAGTTAAAGAAGGTTCGTGAAAAAGGTCCCTGAAGTGTTAACCTGTCACTCTAAAACGGGGCAACTCTCGTTTTAATCGATCAATGAAGTTTCAAGTGGTTTTAATTTTCATTTCCTTGATGAACAGCAATCAGGGAAGGTATTAGGGGTTTTCGATAAAGCGGTTGCAGAATATTTAGAAAAAATTATTTTTTGCATTGTAATTTGTGAAGGTAAATTTGCCCCTCTATACTCGTTCAAGCAATGGATCGTCCCTGCATCAAGACCTACCAGTCTAGGAATAAATGAAGTTCCATTGGATATGCCTGGAGCAAGCAAGGCATCAGTAGAAGTGTCTCATCCTTCTCCAGTTGATGCTCATGCCTCTTACGCAGTGGAGCGCATCATATTTTTGTTCATCAGAGAGAAATACACTGGATCATAATGTATCCGATTTCGTCGAGTGAATGAGACAATCGAGTGAATAGGTCAATTTAATCAAGAGTTCCTTCACATTACTTTCCTAATCTTACGAAGCCAATTTGATATAAACCCCTGATCTCACTCTTCAAGCACTGTTTACTATTTACAATTGAGATGATATAGTTCCTTTTTTATATTAAACAGGCTATAACAACATGATATATCTCGAGGCAGCATCATGCTGCAATGATATTTGCCATTCATTTGCGATGGATTACCATTGCTTCATGTAAGCCTGAGATTGCGAGATGGTGAAAGGACCGGCATATCCTCCAAAGTATCGTTAAGTCATTGGTTGATGTCCCTCTGGTGGATAGTTGCATATGTGTAACGAGCCTGGTTGTGAAAGCCTTTACCTTAATGACAGAAGGAAGTATACGATCGCAGTATACATGCCCACAGCTACAGTATTGGAAACCTCGAAGTCATTCGTAATCGAATTGTAGAGCACATCATTATATCTAAATGTCAGGGAAGGGCTATAAGCCATTCTTCACCTTGCGCGTTTGGGTGCTATGCCTCAAAAGGGGTCATAGTTCACGTTTACACTTGCCTTCATTTGCATTTGAAAGGGAAGCGCAAGGTTAAGTATATGCAAATCCCAGCGATAATGAACGAAAACACAGGGCTGGATTGTTTGAAAAGGCGTCTTTTATTTAAGAAATGAACGCAACTCAACAAGAAAACCAATATTTATTTGCTTTTACTTCACCTGCGAATGCGTGCGGTCGTATATGCGCTAGAGCGTTCCTCTGACTTCAAACGAACGTGGACTCTTTTAATGTATCAAGAAATCAGCTCACATGTAATACGTGGAAAGTGCCAAACAGCCCTATGTCTGACCGATACCAATAAAATGACACTGCATTGGAATTATTTCATTTAAACATCAACGGCAACGACCACCCGAAACCATTGGAATTATGGGATGGAATGGCACTGAGAATCCAAGAGGTACCAGAACTTGCTATTCCTGTCTTAATTAAAATATGCTGGATAGGAATGATTTGCATGTAGTAAATAGTACTACATACCTCCAAATCATAACCGAATTGAATGCATGGACCTTTTTCCGAATTAAATCACCGTCTTTCGAAAGGGCACCATATTTATAATGCCGAGAGGTTCTCTATTTCGCATAATTCAGAACGTTCAGGAAACCGAGGTCTGTTCATTATTGTACTTCTATTTCATGAATGTAACGGCGAGAGTGGATGCATTCTGAAGGGAAGTCTAGTTTTAAAGGCACCTATAAATTTTGCGTATTTTTCAAGTCCTGAATTCCCAACAAAAAAACTGCCCCCCCGGTCCGGTAAGGCAATTTTCAGTCATACGAAGATTTCATCAGCGAACCAAAATATTACTAAAATAACATGATTTGATGTTGTAAAGATCACCTAAAGTGGTACAGCAGAAGGAGAGATATCTAATTATTGCATACCTGGTGAGATTGCAGGTGATTTTGCATAATTCCTGTCCAGTTCCCTGAGCATGAGCTGGGTATGGGAATGCCACAGGACTGGAACTATCCCTTGGAAGGAGATTTTCCTCAAAGAAGAGGGGAACGGACCCTCTCCGTACTTCTCAGGAAGATTATCCACACCCATCCAATATGCACCCTCCGAATCTAGAAAGAAGGTATTTGCGAAGTCATAACTTCGTTCCACGGAGAATTTGAGCAGTGAGACTTGTCATACAAGGCAATTCAGAAGGAAAACCCTCTAAGGTTTTGCTTAAGAAGCCAAAGTTGCTGTGCATGTCCATTGTAGACTAGATTGTAGATGGACTTTTCGTACTTTTTTTCAGTCGCTTTCGACGTCATCGCCGAGAAAATATTCATGCCGTCCCATACAATATCCACAAAAAGGCCTATACAAGTCCAGACAAAAATCCCGAAAAAATGTACTCCAAATAGTCTCAGAAGGAAGGAGCCGACATGATTCAGTCAGGATCTGTCCCATTCACTGGGCGCGGAGAAAAAAAAATTATGTATTGCATGTTTACATCAGGTAAATGGAATATATGGTCTGGGATGAATGTATACCCATTTTGGCTTCCATATAAACATACAGTGAAAACTTGTTAACTCGAATCCTGATAAGTCGAAATTCCACTTATCTCGAACTTGAATGATTGGTCCCGGCGGAACCCCGTAGGACACCATGTTAAATGCTCCGTTTAACTCGAATTCGCTTATCTCGAATTTCCTAATATCTCCAGTGACATTTTCACTCCCGATAACGATTTTCTCACGTTAACTCGAATTCAGGGTGTGAAGGGGGAAACAATTATTCTCGTGGAACTTTTCGATTTTTGAATAGGATGAATGATAAGAAACCCATTCGGGAGGATGTTCTTTTGTTTCTTTTGTTTTTTTTCTGATTCTCCCTCCTCCCACGCAGACGCCTGTGGAGAGGATTAAACCTGAGGATTAAAACCGAAAAGCTTCGGCTATAAAAAAGCAACCTCCAACATTCGCTCTGTCTATTTATCGCTCTCACTCCGAGCCATTC